TATAAAGAAAATTTAGGAGGCAACTTAGCTGATGGTGTACAAAGGTATAATGGAACCTCTCTTGTTTTTCTACTAGCCCTGCAGTGCTGTCTTTAGTGGGATCTGGTTTATCGGTAAATACATGGTTGAAAAGAAAGGGCAGCTTTAGTGAGAAGAAAGTTGACACATATCGTTATTTTCCGATTCTAACTAAACTTTACAAACTGATCATTTCACGTTGCCAGTAACATTGCAAACAAACTTAGCTAGCAGGTATAAACTACCTCGACACCACTGCTGTAATTACCACCTTAGTGTACAGATGGGTGCATGCAGCTTTGCATTTTAAAATTGTAGCTTGGCCTTTGCTTTTATCCAGCCTCTAGCTATTTTTTCTGTGATCTGAAAGATAAATACATTTTTCCCCCTCTTAAGAGAAAACATCATGGCATGCTGTAATTTCAGGGTTTGTTTGCCATTTTTTTGGTTGTCATTTGAGCATTGAGCATTTGGTTGCATGAGCAAGGTTCAGGATTCTATTGCACCCAAACACAAACCAAAAAGATTATTCTTGTTTGAAAGGACAAAAGGCCCAGTTGTTGGAAGTTAGTAAAAGCTAGTTAAATGGGCAACCCCCAACATAAATAAAAACATACTTTGGAGGACTGCTTCTAATGACTTTATTTCTAGCGTAGCACTATATTCTAGGAGAGGAGCTAACTTCTTTGTTTTTTGTTTTTTTTTTAATAACGTATCAAATTAGTTGCTTATAGAATCGTGTGAGTGACTATTCCATTCCAGTTTTTCTCTTTGTCTGCATGTGAAATGGAGCAGAGATTGTTGTTGTTATTATTAGTCCTGAGAGCATCCTCTGGCTTCTTGTGCTTTTAGATTTCCTACTTTTCTTACTTCAGCGTCAAAGTCATCATGTTTTTCAAGCATGAAATTCTCATTCTCTTCCACGACACCTTTCATCTTTTTCACCAGCAAACTTCATGAGTATACTCCTATCATTTATGCCATGTGCAGAGACAGTACTGGTTTTTTTTTTTTTCCTGAGACTCATCCTTGAGAAATTCATTAGAACTTTCCATAACTAAACAATTCGCTTTTGAACACAGCTTACCATTATATACCCCCTGGCTTTTCTCCTTGTACAGTAAGCTGCATCAGGTTAAACTAATAATTTTCCACATGCAGTAAAAGCTTCACTGAAGTCTGCATAGATTAGAGCTCCTGTCTGAAAAAATCAATTATAAAAGAAGAATTTTGAGTTAGTTTGGCATGATTTACCTTCATAAACATTTCGGTACTTTATGTCATTTCTATTAATCTTTAATTATAGTAACCTTCAGAAAGATTTTTGATTTTTAGACAAATTTTGAGGTCAGTCTGAAAAGGCTGTAACTGTTGACATTGCCTTTTTCCTCCTTATATCTAGCTGCTCGATTTATTATTGTCTTAATACTTGAATTAATAGAATATGTTTGCTTTGCAGTTCTTACTCCATTCAATGTTGATTTTGCTGGAGTAAAGACTGTGTTTTTTGCCCTTATATATTCTTCTCAAACATGTTTTCCACAAGTCTATCTAGCAATGTAGATTTCTCCACAGGTCAATAATAGGCACAGAATTATTAGCTGGGAATTCCATTCCAGACCATTTTGTTGTTGTTGGATAGGATCAGTTAAGCTGTTAAGCTGTAGATAAACAAACAAGCAAGCATGTGTGAAATATTTAATTGCCACTTTCTTGCCGCAGTCCTTTGCTTGCTGTTTCCTGAAGCATGATCGGTGCAATTCACATACTCAGAATGATTTTATTTGTATTTGGCAACAAATAGTGCTGATGCTCTATATCTGCCTCCCTTATCTGCCTCCCTTAAGATTTCAGAAAGAAAGCTTATTAAACCATGTTCGGTTCATCAATTCCCTGCAGACAGGAATGTTTTTAAAAACCTGCCTTGTAATACATATGTACCTACATATACGTGCACGACAGTAGCAGGTTAACTCAATGGATTGAGAGAGCTGTTCCAGGATTCATTCTTATGATTCCTTGAGAATAAAGGAAATGAAAACCCTTTTATGTACACAGAAGAGATTCCTCCATGCTTCTCAAATATCCATGATTAGAAAAACAGGATCTATCTAGTGCTAAAATTCTTAATAGCTCATTTATCCTTTTAAGAGAAGTTGGTTACTAATATTTGGTAGGAAAGTATGGAGGAAAGCTTGCAAATATCCTAATGCTAACTGCAGCGCAAAGGAGTCATCTTCTAGACTTGATATTTGAAAAGAGAGACTACCAAAAGGTTAGGAGTTAGGGGAGGATCGGGAGCCAAATACTTCAGCACCATAAAGGGAAAATATGCCTATAGAAATTTTCAGATTAACCTTGGTTGGAAAACAGACATTTCAGCATGAGGGACTCCTTTGATCATGTCTTTAGGTTCAGACACATTGGATCAAACTGAGTAGTGCCGTTTAAAGAGTCAGTTCAGGCACCCGAGTTTGACCCATTTTGGTAAAAATAATCCAGATAAATTTTCTAGATCACATGGGTCATTTTTATCTATTGAGGAGGAAAGGAGGGGGAAAAGCTTTCCTCTCTATCAAAATACAAAGAAGTTATCTAACTTTTAAAACACAGTAAGCTCTAAAACCATCTGAAAGTACAGTCTAGATCTTGCAGTTCTTATTCAAACATGTACATTCAAAACATGTACTGCAGTCCATAAGAGTGTGTAGTGAAACAAAAAGAAATCTCAGATTTTTTTCTTAGATTTTGATTCTGTCGTTCCCATGAAGTTCTCCTGATTTCTATTAATGACTGGTAAATATTTTCATAGTAAGTGAACTGTCTCTCAGGAAAAAAACAACAACACTTCAATGCTCCTTTAAGCTATGGATAGAGCACCTTTCAAAGGCAATAAAAACATGAAGAATAAGGGAAAAAATTTTCCTCTTTCATTTCATCTTTCTCTTGCGCTATCTGACTGATTACTCAGTCAAGAACTTAAGAGATCAATGGTGACAGTAGTCAGGCAAGTAATTTAGAGGAAAAACAGTAAAGTAATGCTGTAATATCTTTCCGAGAATGAAGTGAGGTCTAGTTTTGTCAGCAGAACAGACAGGAGAAACTTAGACACAGAAACACACTACAGCATTTTGGATCTTATGTGACAAATTATGTGAAAATATATTTCTGGGATTTCATTAGCTCCTAATTGAAAACAAACAAACAAAACATCTATTCATTGAATTTTTTGTATTTTAAGTACCAGTGGTGTGCTTAGCCCCAAATTAGACAAAGAAGAAAGTGCAGACCTTCCTGGGAGCTTACATCTGAAACAGATGAGCAATTCCAAAGGGACTGGGAAACCCTGAGGAGAATTCTGCTTCTGAGCTTTTTTTTCTTTGATATATTTTGCAACTGCATTTTTAGTGATGTAGATTAGAGCTACTAGTTTTAACATCTGAAAAACAGATTTTGAGGGGGCTGACTACCCTGGAGGATAACGTGGAACACTTGAAGTATTAGTGCTAGTTAAGCCTCTCGTTTTACATACAGAAGTTGCTGAGTGTTATTATTGCCTGTTCTGTGTAGTTGAGTTCATTCCTTTACAGTCCCAGTACAGTCTTTTCTTGACGCTCGCTAAACTATGCTATGGTTAGAACTAGCTGAATAATTCATTAGGTGAAATGGACTTCTTTTATCATATATTTTAATATTTTTTGCATTTATTTGTTGCTTCAATTTATTTTGAGAATAACTTTTTGAAATGTGCTGTTCTCTGGATAGATCAAGATACTCGAAATTCAGGTTGAGTTGTCGACCTTTGATTGGTTGGATAAGTCACAAAGTGCTCTTTGTATTTCCAGACTGGATGAGTTTAGAAGCACTTCCAGCGTAAATACCCCAAACCTGCTTTCTGTGAATATACGAGCATACAGATACTCTGCTGAATATTTGAATCAGTTGCCTGCTCAGCTGTTTACAGATTTTCAGGTGGATAACAGCATGACCAAAAGAAATTCACTGAGAAAAGACTTGTTAAAAAAATTATTGCTGGAAAACACTTTGTAATATTTGCACTGCTCTGCAAAACAGTGCATTGCTCTAAAACTGCTAAATCCTGGCTCTTTTCTTTGTATTGACATGATGCTGGAGTAGCTCCACTGAATTTATTAGAGTTACATCTGGCTCTCACCTGTGTAGGTCAGAGAAAATGCAAGTCTCCCCAGATGTGTGATTTTAATGTGAATTTATGTACGCTGGATTAGCCACTCACTGGAGTGTCATTATCCCAAACCCAGAAATAGATAAAAGTATTCCCAAGTGTTATTGTCTGCCATTATAAAAGGTATTTCAGGATTATATTGTCAATAGCAGATTCTTGCTAGGGTTTTGGTTAACTAATGCTAAAGTGAAAAGCTAAGAAATGAGATCAGTGGCCTTTATATGAGTAATTGTAAATGTAGGTAACATTTTATTTTCTCAATCAAATGTAATAGCTCCCTACAGAAATATACTCCTGACTTGAATATCAATAGATTTCTACTTAAACTCTCAAAACGATACTTTATTTGAGCATTTTCCCCTCTTGGAGACACAGCTGTAGAGTCAAATTGTTCGGATCTTGTCTTTTCTTTGTTCTTTCCAATCCCTTCCACCCTCTCCTCTGAATGAGTCCCAAAAATCAGTGAAAACACGAGTTTCTGTTATACAGGGCAAACAGGAGAACATGACTGACGACTGCTAGATGCATGGAGTTGAAGAGACTAGGGAGTAGGTAGGATGCTGACAGTAAATTCACATACAGGGCATACCTACTGAACGACATACGCCCTACTCTTCATTGCATCCTGTATGGGCATTTGTGGAGTAACACGTGCTGCAAGCAGAGCTGCTGCAGGCATCCCTGTTTCCAGGCCCAGCCAGGTTTGCTTAAACACGCGGCGAGTTTATCATTATGCTCTGTTCAGGGTCTGGCCCTGTGTCGCAGCTAATATCTGCGAATGGCTGTGTTGCTACCAAGTAATGGAAGAAGGGTCAGAGGGCAGAAACGCTCAGAAAGATAGAAATGAAGCAGGCATTTCAATTCAGAGCTAATGGATGGGGTTTGGAGGCTTCTATTAACAGAAATTATCAGTGTATTAATGTATTTCGGGCAGCATTTTTTACAGTTGAATACGGTGTTATTTTCCTAGTTATCCATTCCCTGACAAGTGGTTATAATCAAAACTGTCTGTGAGCACTATTATCAGAAACTTACTGTTATGTTCTGTGGGAGAAAATATCAGGGAATGATGCAGTGCCAGAAAGCTATTATATGTTTTAAAGATCTAGTGCAACACCAAGTATTTATTTATATACTGCTTTACTTCCTGTGGAAGAAAATAATTTGAACTTAATTTTCTTGTCTTACCCAACCATTTTAGAAAATGTACCTCCTGAAGTCCGTAATTATGATTAACAACGTGAGCTAGATGCTTAGTTACTGTAAATTAGCATTCCCCTATACATTGCAATGGAGCAATGTTGATTTATCGCTGCAGAGAATGCCTTGATACACTGCTTTACATCTGTAAGTGTTAACAAAGCTTTTTAACACAGTATTGTACAGAACTTATTCTGTTTGGCCAGAGTGAACTTAAATAGGGACAATTCTGTTCCTAAAAGTCTTTAGAATTATCTTGAAAGCAAAATTAAGTCTTCCAGTATATTGCATTAATGAATCAAATCAACGAAACTGCCATTGCTCTGTCATGTGTTCTGGCTTTGTAGACAAACTGAATACTTTCTTTTCTTCTTAAATTTCAGGCTAGCCATATACTGAAAAATATTCATGTAATTCTAGCCTAGCTTTTTAGCTATTTTTTACTGTTTATTGTGGAGGAAGGAATTCCAGTGAGACAACACAGAAAGGAAGTAATTACCTAAAAATGTTTATACTTGTGTAGTTGACTATTAAACGTTAAGAAGAATCACAAACTGTAGGGATTTTAATAGTAAGGAGACAGTAGGCAGTAATAAATTCTGCACTTTTCAATGAATGAATCCTCAAGAAGACTAAGTATTAATCAGATTAATTTGACCAACAGAGTAATCAATACTTTTTTTTTTTTTTACATTCTCTGTTTCACTCTGATTTGCCATGCTTTCCACCCAGTTAGCACTGATGGAGACGATGGTCCAAGACTCAGACAAGTGAAAAAAAAGCAGAATTCCTGAGAATACGCTGATAGACAGTTAGCATCTGAAAACAGGTACTATCCTAGCAACTTGTTCTTTCCAACTCTCCCTTTCTCAGTATCCCCTCTTTTTCATCTTGTCCCTGGGAATTGAACAGACAAAATCCAAATGGGTTTTTGGAACAATCCTAAATCAGGGAAACTGTGAAGACAAATGGTAAATGTCTGTTACCCCAGCTGCTAAGTTAATTACTGTAATGGGAAACATCTTGAGAGAGGCATTGCATATGGTTATTAGCAATTAACCCACCACTCTAAAAATCACAATTCCTGCTAATAACAGAACACAGCACAGCCTTTCTAATTACAATCGCTGCACGAGAATTCCTTTCTATCAGAAGGGAATGTTAAATCCTGTAACCAGCTACAATTTAAAAACACTGGAAATTGAGGTATTGAGGATTAGACAGAAAAATGAAAATAGAAAAAGGTGGTATGTGACAGACTCAAAGTAGTGGGCTGACTCATTCATGCTTGGGGATCCACAACATCTTTCACAACGTCTTTGTAGGAAGGCAAAATCATAAACGAAAATTAACATGTTAATGGGGAGGGAAATACACTTTACAAGGGAGTGGGTGGTATGAGACTTCATGTGAGATGCCATCTTTTCTACAGAATTCATGGTCTGGACAGTGATGTAACCAATGTGCTGAATTTGATAGTGCTTAGTAAAAGATTGCACTGGAATTTGTAAGAACAATTTTCTGATCAACAAGAGAGGAGAATAATGAAAATTGTGCGTTTTCCATCCTGCAGAAAGTCCTTTGGTACTACGTGCCAGGGAATGGGATGTGTTTTCTCTCAATTTGCATTCTACACAATTGGATTAGATTATGACTCACCTGAGTAAAATCACCAAGGGGAATCAGGATCAAAGATACACAATTGTATAGCAAATAAGTTTAATGACAGCAAGCGTGTGTCGTGTTGGTCATGGCAGGGACACGGACTGTAAAGAAGTCACTAATGCTATATCCCACTACCATTTTTTCCTAACATTTCCCACTGTTACCTCGGTAAGAACAAGAATAAATGAGTCTGCTTTTACCTTTGTATTATCTGAGTCAGGTCCGAAGATTTAACTGGCTTGGGCACAGTCAGATCAATTTTCTCAGTAGGTTTTTGAAACTGCTTTCACAAACGCTGGTTCCCTGCAACTCTTACTCATGTGAATCCTCCCATTAAAGTTAACAGCTTTGCAGGATGTTCTCAATTAAAACCCAGCTGAAGATAAAACATTAGATAATATTTGAAAGAAGGGCACATTGCACAAACTGGGTTTACATTTCAGTTCAGGAGAACTTAGTGTCATAGTTCCTAAAGGAAGTCTTTCTGGGCAGATTGCAGGGAAACTTTTAAATTGCTCCATCTCAGAATTCAACTGCAATAGTATTCTGCTATGTGGCCCCCAGGCAAAGGTCTTCACCAGATAAGATGCTGAGAACTCTCCACTTTAGTACCTCCCAATTTGCGTGTTGCTGGTCCATTAGTCTTAATAACTGGGTAAAATAACTATTTGTGCGCTATTTCTAAGGTTTACATACAGATTTGAAATATTAAGTAATTTTGAACAGTTTACTGTGGAGTTCCTTAAGACAGAATAAAACAATATTTTTGAAAGACTAATTTACCTCTCCTAGAAAAAATAACCAGGCAACAAGATCCTTTGCTATTTTGCCATGATGTGATCCTGAAAATAATTCCAGGTTGGGACGGCATCTCAAGACATAATTAACATTCAGCCTTGACACGAGGAAGGTCTATTATTTTATGAAGAGAGATTTTTCTGTGGTTTAAGAAATAAAATGATTAGAAAACTGTGTGCTCTACAGGAGGTAATGAGATGAGCTCAACACAAGGTCCTGCAGAGTTAAAACTACTCCAGATACAAGAAAGGCTTAGCCATCGAATGGAGGTTTTGGAGTACAATTAATCTGCTCTAAGGTCAGATAAGCACGGTATGTTTTCTTCACCATGAAAAAAAATCAGTGATACAGTCTCAAGGGAGCTGTGTCACTGCGAGCTTCAAAGCAATGAACAGTATGAAAAGGTTTCTTGTTATGACTGGCAAATATTTACCTATTTTAGCAAAGGCCTTGGAAAATAAAAACCATGCGTGGAACTGAGCTTATAAAGTGTGTTTAAAATAGAAACTGGGGTACCTTATTACAGGACGGAAGGGAAGACAAATTAATACACAGTTTGTGACAAATGATGTTGACCTCTAACCTGCAGGGATGTTAGTGTACCCATCCTGTCAGTTCCCTCCGTCACAAACTTTCATAGGAGCTAATTTGGAGCAACATGAGACCGTCCCCCTTCCAGGGGAATGAAAGGAAATCACAGTTGTCTTTAGCATCAGTTGGCTCAGGGCTCATCTGTTCCTTCACAGCCCAGTGGCTGGTTAGTTACAGGGCCCTAGTGATATGAAAATCATGGTGTAATAGACCCTGAGTCCGACATTAGATCATGAAATGCTTAAGGTATGTTTTTCCCATCTTTTATTTGCTACCACACACCGTTCCCTTTCCAGGTCAGCTAGTCTCCTTTCTCCCTCAGGTGAAGGGAAAAGAGTTCCCTTTCTGACAGCTGTAAAGGTCTGGAGAGGTTCTAAAAAGGATGGGATGGATGGTGTAGAGGATAGCGCGCAACTCTGGGATTTAAGAAACCCCTCCTCAGTTCCCTGCTTTATGTTCTTGCTGCCACTAACTCTAAGCGATGAGATTATCCCTCCCTCCTGATGTTAAATGCACTTATATTCACAGTTGCCTCTGTGAAGTGCTCGGATGTGGTTGTGACGGACATCGCACGTAGAACAAAGGAGGTCCAGAGAAAAAGAGAAAGACCAAGGTATGTCTCCTGCAGTAAAGGAGAGACAGCTCGGCGCCCCGACGCCGAGCAACGGGCACCCAGCTTCCCTCCTCTCCCAGTCGCGGGCAACTCTCACGAAAACAAGGTTGTGTTTAACTTCACATGTTATTCAGTGAACAAATCCCTCCTTCCTTCCATCTCTCTGTGTCGTACCCCACAGGAACTCGGATCGGGAGGAAAGCCCCTTTAAAGGAGGAGAAGCAGGAGAGGAGAGGCGCGAGGTGAGGCGGTAACCCCACAGGAAGGAGCGGGTGGGAGCAGAGGAGACCCCGCTCCGTACGCCTGGCCGCTGCCCGGGGCACGCGGGCGCGGAGG